GCGCAAGCCTCCGTGGGCCTGTCCCGTTTGGGCGACTTCCCCAGGCGAAATGTGTGATCAACTGTCCGTTGGCACCGGACAAAAGTGGTCCTGCTTGGGAGCCATCGGAAGCTCTTCGGGGCAAAGGGCGGCTAAAAGCTAAGATGCTTCCTGCTGAAGCAACAAATGTGAAAAATTAACTTGCAAGCTCATGCCAGGCAAAGATCCCCTTGGGCTGCAGTTCTGAGTGCGTGTGCGAAGACTACCTGGAAGGAATTGTTTGTTATCCGCAGCTTGGTCAAATCTTTCACCAAACGATTTCGAAGCAGGAACGGACAGGTTCCAACGGTGGACACGGTTGCCCACGGGTTGCCGCGCTTGGGTCAAAACGAGTCAAGACGAGTCCGTCAACGCTTTTCAGGGTGCCGGAATGGGTCGACATCTTGGAATGGTTCTACTTGGTGGTCTATTGCATTGAGCTGGGGCTGCGCTTCTATGTCTTCAGGCAGGGGAGACTCTCCGAAAGCGATTTCCATGGATTTCCTGCTCCATTGGGGCCGTGCTTTCACATGAGAGAGGGTGACATGAACCGTGGTACTTGTAGATGGTGGGCTTGCTGGGTAGCTACCCGCGCCAAGGAACGCCTCCATCCGACAGCAACGGTCTAAAATCACATGCAATGAATATCAATGATGGGTGACGATGAAAGAAACCTGCAAAGGTCCACACAGGCAAAGTTAAGTTGCACTTCGCGCAGGTTGAAGGACTTGTTGGTACTGTTCATTGCTGCATAGCAACACCGCGCAGGGATTGACCAACAGAGTCTGCATCCATGATGCTGTGTGTTTGCCTTCGCTGACAAACATTCTGCGTAAAAGTTTCTTGACTGTTTTCCTTTGTCAAGCCACTGGATGGGCGTTTCAGTGAGGCATGAGCTGATCAGCCGAGAATCGAAATCCAAGCGCAGTCTTCTGCGAAAGATAGGACACACATGGAAGCATGAGGAAGCCAGATTTCATGAAACCATATGACACCAATATAGCTCAAGTACCATGAAGCTACTAGTAGCTCCTGGCATTACTACTAGTAGCAAGAAGCTACTAGTAACAAGGGCATCCCTACTAGTAACAAGGGCATTACTAGTAGTAGCAAGTAGTATATATCTTTACAGGATTCCCACAGGATGAGCCGAGAAGAGTCCACTCCTGGTACTCTTGTGACTATCGTCAACGCAGGTTGCCCGTTCTGCGGAGTAGCTCGCTTGCAGCAGTTTTCAAGGGTAAGTCTTGTTTGGAAGAATGCAACGACGAGGGCATCTTAGGGCCTTTGCATACATGCTACTTTGATTGGCGACCTCAAGTTTGTGTTGCAGAGCAGTAATTTCGTGCAATTTCGCTTTGGCTTTGATCGGCACACTGCCAAGACAAAGGACAGTTCATTTGTCCCTTTGGAAAATGTCCTCAGGTTGCCAGACATATTCAGGTCATGAAATGATCATGATTTGATTGCTAGTCGCAAGAGCTAAGACTACAAGTCGTAGGCATTCACTGTTCAAAAGCTCCAGAACCTACTTCGTTCAATTCGCCATTTGTCTCCTGAGGCAGCTGGGTGCGCTTGGACTGCTTCCTGGTGCTCTCTGCCATCGTGGATGTAATCCTCACGCAGGCACAGTTGGCTTCGGTCTGCCCAAACAGAGTAAGCAATGCAGCAATGCGTGGAGAAGCATGTGGACTATGGCTATCCAAATGGCGTTCTTTGTACAGTATATGAATATGCATGTGCATCAACATATACTACAGCAATTTGTTGCTTGAGGACCATTCATTCTCTGGCTTTTGGAAGGTCTCCCACCTTGGCTAAATGACAAGGATAGGTAGAACTTGTGTTGTCAGCCTTGGGAAACTCAGTCGCAGACTTAGTGTTGATCTGGGCCAGGTGAGGTGGGAGAACCAGTATGTGCAGGGGTTGCTTGGTTGAAGGACGTCAGATCAGCGAGCCAAATCTTAGTTAGAACACCACGCATGCGGTGTTTGATAAGAGCTTGGACATTTGGCAGCAAAGGCACTGATTGAATGCTCTCTGAGAAAGAATGCAGAAATAGGTGTTTGTTGGCATTCTGGGGTTGCTGCATGAAATTCATGACTTGTATCATGAGTTACACTATACGACAAGGAAAGACTACCACCACAGTTTCGCAACTGGGTTTGATGGCCTGCTTGAGCTTCGGTGGTGCTTCTCGTGTGAATGTGGAGGAAAAACATTGAAAGAGAAGAAAGAAAGGTCTACATAAACGACTGAAGAAAAGCAACGAAGAAGAGTGTGAGTCTAATTCTTTCTTTCATTTTGTGTCTGTGTCCGTTGGTATTGCGAATGTGGAGGATCTCGTTGGTCACCAGCTTTCCAGCAGGAAAGATTGACACCAGTACAGTACTGGACTTGCTTATCATAAACCGGCTTTCTTCCTCTCCTACTTCTTTTTTCTTGCGTTTTTCTGTTTCCCTTCTTTTTTGAAAGGTGTTTTTTGTTCTTTCAGGGTAGGGTAGGGCGTGAATGAAGATAGTAAGGGCTAAGCAGTAGGCTTGCTTAGTAGACCTTGGAAGCTACTGGGCTCGCACGCAGAAGAGTTCAGGTTTCTGCAATGCTGCAAGGATGCTCCCCCCGCCTTCAGAACCCTTTGCATGATTCATGTGGTTTTTAGTTTTTGTTGGGACACTCAATTATACATTGATACAATAGTTCCTTATTCTCCTTGTTGCCGTGTGCTTTCTGAAGGAATTGATGCTACTGCTTTGCTCACCTGACTTCTTGGATTTAACTACCCATCTCCCCGCCTCTAGGGTGGAGGCCATCAAAAAAGTAGGGTGGAGGCCATCGCTAGTATGTTGGAGGCCATCGCTAGTTGGGTAGTTTCTACTACTTAGGTTGATGCTGGTACGAACCTTCCGCTTAGCTCGCTGAGAGCTCAGTCTCAAACCACAAGCACAGGTGAATTTTAGCATGCATCCATGGATGCGAGGTGTTTGCGTGATTCAAAACAAGACCTAGAGCAACGGATGTTTGAATCTTGACCCCCTTAAGCTGACACGTACCCAGTGAACTCGACAGCATCTGCCTGAGGTCTTGCTAGGGCAGTGCGTTTGCTCGTGGCGTTACTTGGGAGCAACTCCACGACTTGACGGGATGCGAAAGGGAAGTCATGAAACCACTGGATTCAAACCACCGATGCCAAGGCCCTTATCAAAGGATGTCAATAAGAGCAAGTAAAAACACATGAAAAACTAGGTTACGACGCTTCGAGGCGCCTGTGGGTGGGAGATGAGAGTCTGACTGAAACCCAGTCAGGAGGACAGTAGCAAGAAAATGAATGTACGAAAAATGGGGTCGTCGTCAATCTCGAGACTAGTTTCCGATGTGCTTCGCGAAAGTTCCGAAAAGTTCTGAAAAGAACATGCAAGTGTTGCGGTGTGTGCGACAAGGATGAAAAGAAGTAGATAGTGTAGCGTAGTGCAGAAGATTTTCTAATGTATGGCTGTGCACTTAGAACCGAACGTTAACATCGCAACTTAACCCATCCCACCCCACCCCCACCTTCCAAAGCGTGTGTGCATGTCACATCATTTTCGACTCATATCCAAACCAACACCATTAGACCCTCACTCAACCCGACCCCCCCATAGAAGCCTGTGGCTCATATGTGAAAACACAGTGAAGAATTCCACTATGGCAGGTTTTCACATATCAGCCACAGGCGCCTGAAGGCGCATAACTACTTGAGTCAGGGTGTGTCTCAACTATGTTTGATTCGTGAGAGACTGATTGAAGCCGGTAGGTGCCAACGCATCGTGTGAAATCATGCATCCAGCAGGCTGAAACACTGAAACTGACAGAGACCATCCCTTGCTGCAACATGTAATCGCGTGGCTCAAGGCCACAACTATTGGGCCACGCGACTATATGACTAGTTATGACTATATGTTGGTCTTGTTTGCCACTCACATAGTGTAGGTTAGACAGGTAGTACAGCGAACACTGCGAACAACTCAGTTGGCTTTTTTGAAATGCAACATGCAGCGCAGGGGGTCGCACAATTCGCTAGTCAAGGACGAGCACACAACATCAAGAAGTGTTTTTTTCTTTTCCCGAGCTTGTTTGTCAGGTGAGAAGCTATGAATTGTCTAACCTTTGTTGGGGGAGGGTTGGCGAGCCTCTCAGCCCATGCTGACAGTTTTGCACTTTGGAACCTAGGTTTCAGACGCTGTGGATGCTCGTGCAAGGCTGGATTCACCCAAGTGTTTGTGTATTTTGTGGCCCGACATCCTTTCTTTAGAGGAGGCTTTAGCAGAATGGAGTGAAAACCATCCACATCATGGCCTGGGCTTCTTGGGAAGGAACTGCCTCCCCTTTTGTGAGTCCCATGCACCAGGGCTGCCCCAGGGCGGGGACTCAAAGAAGAGCAGACTCATGAGATGAACAAAGAAGGTGTTTAGGACGCTACTAGGGGCTCCTGGCCATACTACTAGGAGCAAGAACGCTACTAGGGGGGCTGCTGGCATCGCTACTAGGAGCAAGGACGCTACTGGGCCTCTTTCAATGGGCCCAAACAGCATTTTGTTCCATCTCATGAGCCTTATGCTTTTCTCTCACTCTCACATGCTTCTCACTCCGTCCGCAGGACTGCTTCACAGTGTGGCTTGGCCATAAAAACTTCAGAACACTCATCAGCAGCCGCACACATAAAGATTACAGTAATGTTGCCGCCGAGGGATGCATGCAGCGTTGCAAACAGTGAAGCTGTCTACATATATGGTATATATATAATATACACTTGTAGCTGAAACTGGACAACATTTTCAATTGACGGGCAGACTGACAAATCCATGCCCTCAAAGCAGTTCCACACACACATCCTTTTGGCATCCCGCAGATTATCAGCATTGAAACTGAAGAATAATCCACGCAAGCTCTCATCGGCGGATCCCAAGCAGCCGCTGAGATCCTCACGCTTTTTTTGGACGTTCGTCATGATTCTCACCCTTGTCTTCATTTTCGCTGCCTTGCCCTCAGTCTGTGCAAAAAGGGTGGCCACAGGCTCATGAGCCCATTCGGCAGAAAAGAGACATAGTGTTTATCGCAGAAGTTGATGGTTCGGAAAAGATGAATCAAGCACCGGCTGCATAGACTGTGTAGCGTGGCACCTGATTGAGGTACTTGGCATGGAAATCATTTTGGTGGACCGAGAACTGTGCCAGATCTCAGTCGGACGGACAGTTGTAGTTGGAAGCCAATGCCTAAGGCGTGCAGCCGTATGGCAGGTGGAAGGACAGTCCAAGCTGTCAAAATTATCAGCAATGTCTCCGGAAGCCCCTGCAGGGAGTTAGGTTCTCTGGTTCTCTCAGATTTGTGCAGTGTGGTTGTGAAAGTGGCAACCTATCTTTGTGAGAATTTGGCCAGTTCACAAAGCAGGAACTTTGACCTTTGATGACTCACAAGAAAACTGCTCCATATTTTTGGCACCCAGTCGGACAACTCTTGGTTTATCTTGGTGTCAGTTTTGCTCTCACTGCTGTGATCCGAGGCCCTTAGACCATCCGTACAACATTGCGGCCCAAAACAATTTTCGAACCCTGCTGGATGCCTCTTTGCGACTCAGCTACGCAAGTTCAAGTGTCAAGATTTTATGTGCCGCCACCAACACCACCTTCTTTTTATGTTACTTCTACTTTATGATCCAATGAAGCGCTAGGTGCATAACATTCCCTGTTGCAAAGCCACTATAGGCTAGTGCAATGGTTCCAGTGGCGACAGCGCATGTTACATTATCAGTTTGAATGACCCAGTCCAATCATCTCCAATTCGTGCAGAAGCTCATAGAATCTCCCTCACTTGGAATCAGCACCTTGTTGGGCGAATTTTCAGACAAAATGCAATGTCCAGAGTGCAGATATTGTCATCACTGTGTGTTGTGGTGCTCCTGCCAAGGATCCTTCTCCAATGTTTTTGCAGCTTGGCTCGACATCTTGATGTATATGACAATATTGAAGCATGATATGCCAGGCAAAGTACCATCGTAAATGGCCTGGGTTTTGTGCCCATCATATTGTTCTTGAGAAAACTCTTCATGGCAACAGCCCCGCCCACTTGGCCTCCATGTTTATTTTTCTTTTGCCTTTAAACAGAATTGCCCTTCCAACAAACTTGCTGAGCAACTTCTCATTTTCTCACTGTGTTTGTCTTATCAGAGTCCAATGTCGTGTGGGCAATTCTTGTCCTGCCTACAAAACGTTCCAAATTGAGGTGTTTTGAGAGGGGAGCAACACCTCTCTCTTTTTTGCTCGGTTTGGTGTCGCACAGCTACACAGCCTCACAAGCACAGCAGGTGTCCCCATGTTCAACACCTCGAAAAATGACGGTGATGCCCTTTGCAACAGCTTGTGAGGCCAAATCTGTTGTTTTTGGACGGTTCACTTTACTCAGTTGACTTACTTTAGTGATCTTTAGTGACTGTAGCGACTGTCCAGTGTGTGGAGGAAAACACAGAACTCCTTTAGGAGCCTCGATACAGATATCCCTTCGTCCGACAGACATGTGCGATCGCCTCAGGCTGGGACAGTATTGCCACTGTCTATCGACCACTGGTGAAGCACAAGTCTGGGGCTCAAGTCTTGAGCACACAGCATCTGGGGCTGGACATTGAAGCAGCAGGACAAACACTACCACAATGATTCCAGCCTTTGTGTGTTGAGTGTCGAGTGTAGTTTTATTTTGTTTGCTTGCCTGCAGCAGTTTCCTGCGATAGGCTTTACCTCTTCCTGTACTTCATGGGCGTTCAGCAGCTTGTCAAAAACCAACTTCGAGGGTTCAAAAGGACGTCCAGGATTGGTTGTAGAGCATGTCGCTGGGCAACAAAAGGTCACGTGACTTCTGAATGTTTGGCAAAGTTTGAATTTCATGAAGATTTGCAACCAAGCATACTCAAGTAGGGTGTTTGGCGGAAGATGTAGCTTCCGCAACTAGCTACCAAAGTCAATCATACATGTGGGAATCACGCGAAAGACCAGGCTGTTCGACTCTTGCCATTTTACTGGACCTTGTGAAACTCGAGGCTTGTTTTGGCCATCGCCCTGATGAACTTGGTTACAGCTATCATGGTTGAAGGCTGGATGAGCCTACGGCAAAGACTTTCTTGATCCTTTTTGCCTGGCAGGCGCCACTAGAAAAATGAAAACATGGCAAGGGGGCGCTGGAATCGATTTACCCTTCTACTAGGTCTTATGCAATGCAGTAGAGGCCTTATTCAACATATTCAACCTACTTCAGCCTGCAGGCCTTACTGACATGTTTTCTTTCGTCTCGACAATGCCAGGATCGCTGGCACAGGCAGATGAGGACAAAGAGGCCAAAAAGGCGAGGTGCTCAGTGGCCCATCCATGGCCCATGGCATTCTTTTTCAATGATTTTTTGCACTTGAAGATGCTCAGAAGCAGGATAGCATGTAATTAAGTACTTTTCTTGATTTATACTTCCAAATGCTCCTTGTTCTAGTTAGATTCAGCTGAAAGCAGGAGGTTCAAGGCCTGACGATGACACATCTCAAGGTCTGATTACACTGTGCTGAAGTCTTGTACTGTTTGATGCAAATTACTTTTGATTTAGCCTTTCGACCTGAGGCCTATGCTAGCGCAAAGAGGAAGAAGCAAATGGAAAGGCTGCGGGCGTGGATCCCAAATCCACTCTTGTTCACCTCAGGGGGCTTCCCGCGATCATTTTGGATACAAAAGCTGAAGAAACGTTAAGGCTTTCGTAGAAGCAATGGAAACGCTCAGCTGGCAACTGGCCCGTGTGTTTTTCGTGCTCTTGCTTCCTCACAGATGAAGTGGTTGAGTGATTGAATTTACCATAATTTATATACCCAGAAGATCCACCGAGTTGTGTCCAGTTTTGGGATGCGCTTCGCACCGGGCGCGCACCTGAGGATATGTTCAACGAGCTGGATGAGGATGGCTCAGGTGAGCTGACCATGGAAGAAATTGCAACTTGGCCGCGAGATGTTTGAGGAGCCCCTAGTAGCTTCTTGTTCCTAGTAGTGTTACTTGGGACATGCATATTGCTATTAGGTTGGAGGCCATTGCTACTTGGGACATGCATACACGTAGCCTGACCTTACTTCATCGGACTTCTGCACGTGGCTGAAATGCAACCTCAGTACCACTCGATGCCATCCGGGACCATCCCTGTCTCCAAAGCCATGGAGAGAAAGTTGCACATTACGTAACTAGTCCCCTGCGTGGGTTTCGACCTCCAAGTGGCGCAAAACTTAAGAATGCAAGGCGTGTCGGGTCTGACTCGGGGCTGAACGATCTGAGCAGCCCGAAACATTCAGAAACCATTCACTACCCTCTGGAAGGGTCCGCAAGGTACGCGGAAGGGTCCGTGAGGTGTGTGAGATTGAGCGTCCGCTAGTTAATTCGCCCCTACGATCGTTTAAGGACCACGCTCCACCATCGATCCGCGCCCAGTTGGTCAGCACCTCAAGGGAAGCCGGTCGTGCGGAATAGAGTGGGAGCATGTGGGAGCCTGATATCCCAAAACATCATCTCTACAGTCTCACGGACTGGCTTTGGTGACCGGATTTAATACTTCTTATTGGCGTGCCTATACCTCAAAAAGTATTCAGGTTCGACTAACACATATCGTAACAGATTCAAGCTTTGACACAGTGGTTAGCGGACCTTAAACTTATACTGAGTCATTACATGCGCTCCAATCTGACACTCCTGATGGCCAATATGAAAGACTTGGTTGGAGAATGCGCTGCATCCTCCGATTTCAAATGAATTCAATCATGTTGCCCTTCAGCAACCAATCTATTGCAGATTGCAACTGATTGCCCAGGGTTTGGGTGGTGAGTCTTCACTGTCTACATGGCAGGTGGAGATTGCCGGCACGGAGGATATTGGATCCCTTTTCGAGACTTGGATTTGTAGGACTTTTACTGTTTGGTGTCCGTATTCCCACTTTCTGTTTGGCCAAGTCGTTGCATTTTTCGCTGCAGCAGTTCGCTAACTCAACGCGACGCTTCGCGCGTTGCCTCGTTAGGAAATGCTGGACTACGATGGCAGTGGCACTGTTGGGACTGATGAGTTTTGTGACGGTGTGATCAAGGCATGCTGGAGCGCACGGCAGACATGGGTCGGTCACATGGGTGGTGGAATGGGTGAAAAGACGGAGCGAAATGGGCCAGGAACGCGTGACTTGGAGTAGCACATTTCACAGGCTACCGGCCATATCTCCATGAAGCATGCTGGAGTCAGAATTCGGATTGCCTCACCTAGTCACCTAGGTGTCTTCTCGAGGGTAGCGGTTTTAGAGTCCATAGGCATCCCACAATTTTACATTAATTAGTTACTCCATGTCACTCCATCTCTATATTAATATATGATATATGTATTATATTTATAGTTCATATTAAGTGTGCAGCCGAATGTTCCAGCTGAGACCGCAAGAAGGAATCCTTGATGCCACCTCAGGCAGCCAACGGTGTCACACCAGTGGAGATGAGCCGACTGATCAAGCCGGACACCTGATATGTTGTGCCGTGCAACAGTGGGACATTCTGGCCCTCAAATGACAGGCTACAACTTCAGGTGTCGAGCACTTGGGTCAATAGATGTCAATAGGAGTCACCTAGGACTTTGAGGACTTGGCTGGAGCTGATGCTTCACCCAGCTCCAAGCATCTACTGTAAAGTATGTAAAAGAGTGCAGTCACCACCATGCACCACAATGCTTGCCCCTTTGTGTCCAAAGGTCTTTGGGCCGTCGTAGTAAGTTGTACTGCACAACCTCCACAGGTGGTTTTCTGTGACATCCACGGTTTTCGCGACACGCCACTCCGCACGGCGGTTGTGTCTTTTTGTGTCCTGGTGAACGCTTGAGTTTTGAGAGACCCGAAATGGTGACAGACCTGCACACTTGAAGTATACGTTAATTATGGACATCTTCTTTTTTTAAGCCACCAAGGTTGATCCCGGGACTAGATTTACAATTTGCCCTTGCTCATTGAAAAGGTAAAGAACCTCGAAAGCTTCCCAGGCAGAACACCGACATTCTGCACAACAGCCGTCAAGTCGCACCCTTGGGAAGCAACGTGTCACTGTGACAATACACTCACCGGGCACGCATAGTGGTTACTCAAGGGGATAGTGTAGTAGAAAGTAGGGAGTTTGCAAGCTTGCTTGCTGGCCAGCATTCTGATAGCACATAGTAGTCAATAGCAGTCATATTGTTTTGCAGCGGTTGCTTTGGCGAGTCTGGTTGGGTTGCGGTTTGCACTCGTCAATCATGTGGCATGCCGCTGTAGATTGGGTTCCTAAGAGCCAAGACAGAGGAGGCTGTGCGTCAGGACCCAGAGCTCGTTTGCCCCTGGGAACCTGGTAGGTTGACGGTTGACCGGTCTTGACAGACTCCCATGACATGCTGCTGCTATTCCTTCAAGCATTCAAGTCTTCTAAGGTCATCGCCTTGCTGAGGCGTGTGACGGCTTGATTTGGCATAGTTGGGATAGGTGACTAGCAGCAAGCAGGAAGCTACTAGTAGAAAGGGCATCGCTACTAGTAACAAGGGCATTACTACTATAGTAGCAAGAAGCTACTAGTAACATTTAGTAACAAGGAGGACCCGGAGGACGCGGCCTGGATTTCTAGTAATGCCCTACTAATTGCGATGCCCTTTCTACTAGTAGCTTCTTGCTATTAGTCACCTATCCCACCCTGCCCCTTTTTGAATGACGGAGATTCAAACGCGTGTGTGAGATAGTGTGTGCGTTTGCTAAAGCTGCCATGTGTCTCCGTGTGTACAAAAGTTCGGTTGTTTGATTTGTTCGATATTTCACATGCTTGCTTGGCTGGATTATATATATATATATAGCTAGATATGAGTTGTACAAGGGAGCACGCTTTCAGGCCCAGGCATGACATTCCACACATGCACCACCTTTGCGTGCTTGCGCTCGTTGAACACGTCAAAGCATCAATATCAATATTTGCCAGGGGTGAAGAGTATGAGGGCGGAAGCATATCCGGGTCTGCCAACGAGGATGAGGCCATGTGAGTCAGCGGCCACGCAGCGAGAGGCAAAACAATATCAAGCAATCAGCAATCATAACTTTTTCTTGAATTGAAAGTCACAGGTAGGTCCATGTTCCAGAACTTTTGCAGTGTGCAGAAGACATTAAATGATTCCGGTAAAGGGTAGGGTAGAGGTACGTCTAAAGGCAGAAGACACCAAAAAACACACCATGTGGCAAAGGCAGGGTGCTCAGGCGCATCAGTTGTTGCGTCGTTGCAGGCGCCCAAGCCACCCAAGCGGCGTCGAAGCAGTTTGGGCAATCAGGAGGCTGTTGCCAAGGCGACTGCAATTGTTGGGAGGGTGATAATATCTGAAGCTTAACGGCTGGTTCGTGGATGTTTATCCCTTGATCATCCATGATCTAAAGTGGTTTTCGGAAGGAAGAGGTGTCCAAAAGGCAAACAAAAAGGTGCAGCACCGACGGAATAAAGCAACTGAGGTGAAGAACGATGTGGAAAAGATTTGCATGACACGTTGAATCACTGGAAGCCATAAAATGCTATTCACATTCTCTTTTACATTTGTTTATATACATTGTTTTTTTACTGTTGGCTATTGGCCCTTCAGATTATATAGATTATATAATTATATGCCGTTTCTATCGGTTTCTGTTCTTTGTTTAGCTTTTTGCTTTTGGAATTGTCTTGCAGTTACATTTTTTTCTTAGTTCAACACCTACTAATGCTTGGGATTGCAGCTAAGGATACTCAACAGGACGTGGCAAGCTTCAAGCTAGAATAATCGTAAAAGCAGAGACCATAGGGGAAGTCAGGTGTTCTCTTTTTTGAGGCGGTTCTGTAGTGATTTGCACTTGGAGTGAATTATCACCCTCGTGACCATTGAACCATCCAAACATATCATCCTCTTGTATCCTGTCAATAGGGTCCAACTCAGGCCCTTTTTGAGCTAGGACCGTTGAACCCCCCAAAGGCCATATGACATCCACAAGTTCAGTTCGCCCCGGCACAGTTGGCCTTGCAGATGCAGCAGCATGGGCTTCCTGGTCAGCCTCTTGGGCTTGACACGGAGGCACGTCAGAAGTCAGCTTGGAACGTTGCAATCTCCGAAGCAAAGTCTTCAGGTCTTCCGCTGGAAAGTCTTCTAGAGAATTTGTGGTTGGATCCAGATAGCTGTACTTGAGGACGTTTAAGTACTAGCTAAGTAGGTTGAGGAGCTTGTGACATGGTCGGTGGAGGTGCACCAGGATCAGCACAGTGGCGCTGCCAAAGCTCGGCTTAAAGGACTTGAGGCAGTGGGAAACTGGCTAGCTGATTATTTATATATATAACACAGTCTTGCATGCTTGTTGACGACTGTGGCTGCTGTGTGGAAAGTCATTTCTCGTGGTTTCACCTGCTTGTCAAACTGGATTTTGCTTTGACATCTCTCTTGTCAAACTTGATTTGCCAGATTTGCCCTGCTTGTCTATCTGCCTTTTCCACCTTTGGCTCCAGTGCACGAGCCTCCTGGGCACTTCACTCATGACCATGATTCCTCGAAAAGCGGCCCGGGCGCAGACCGTGCAACTCTTCGCTGAGACACAGACGGCTCCGGCAATCGGAGGCCTGGTTCTGTCTCTCCCGCTGCCTCTTGGCTGCGACCTCAAGAAACCCTTTGTATCCTGAAAACGGATTTTTTATGGGATTTTGTTGCTTTGGTGTCAGTGGATGATGGTGGCCTCTCAAGAGTTTTACATTTGGCTAATATTACTGTAAATGACAAAGCATCAAGCCTTTCCAGGTTGGTGAGAAAAGTTGCGCGTTCATCCAACTCAGGAGTGAGTTCACCTTGCCACCCGAAGTTGTGCTCTTCGAGCCAGCTGCAAGTGACATTCATCGAGGTGGTGTCCCAGCTGGACCAGGCAAGACAGGAAATCGCCTGATCTTTCTCAATGTCCCTTTGTTGGACTTTGAGCAGAAAGCGCTCGATGCCTTGCATGAAGCTCTTAAGAACGAAAAGGTTCTCGCACCAGACGGCCGAATGCCCGGCTATGTGCGATTGCATGCTTTGCGTCTTCTGCAGCAAGCCAAATGGAAAGTAGACAAGGCCATCACCACGATCGCAACTCACTTGGAGACACTTGACCTGACCCAGGTGTGAGCTGGGACTGATGAAATATACCACCAAATAATACAATCTCATGGTTCAAGCAAGAGAATAGTCACAGAGCATGATTGAATAGATGATCATCATCATATAGACGAAGTAGGCACCACTTGAGGAGATCGAAGTCTCTTTGCCCAGGATGCGAGTTCAAAAGATGCCAGTCTCTGAGGACCTTGTGCTCCAGGACTTGAGCATTTGGGGCGCGAAAAGAGTGTTTTGAACACATTTATTTTTTTTTAAGAGAGCGGGTGGTCTCAACAATCCACGGAGACGGTAGATCCCATAGGATCAAGAACACTCACTCAGGGTTTTGGAACATTTGATATTCGAACACCCCCTGTTGTGAGCAATTCTTCTTTGGTTTTTGCTACGGGGTATTCGCCTGAAAAAGCGAGTTCCAGCGCTGAGCTTCGCAAATCTTCGCAAGGGTTCTGCGATGGCCTCCACCCTACTAGCGATGGCCTCCAACCTGAGAGCGATGGCCTCCAGCCTACTACTCGTAGCGTGAATTCGTCCTTTTTTGGTGCACAGGATTTGCAAAGCGGAATCATGTACTGGCACGGCAGAGATCGATCATGCCGGCCCGTCCTGGTATGGCGGATGGAGAAGGTCTACAGTCTAGGTAGCCAAGCTGCACACAGAAAAACCCATGCTTCCTTCCAATTGTCAGTGTGGACACTGAAAGAGAGCATGTCGTGAAAGCACAGGGAAATACAGGGAAGGTAAAGATATGTTAGGCCTGGTTAGAAGCATGGTGAGTGGATATTCCTTTGCGTTTGCAACTCAAATACCTGGGTGTGGTGGAAATCATGCGTCCGGTGGTGTACTCGGTGCTGTACTCACACCATGTCACACTGTTGGACTCAACTGGTCACACCTTTGGACTTGCTTCTGTTCAGTGAGTTGCCCACCGTGGCTTGGACCACCAAGGCTTGGATGCTGAGCGAGCCACCAGGACACCAAATCATCAGTGCGAGCGTGAGCTTTCCGGCGTCCAGTTCCCAGTAGCTTAAGTAAGCTACTAGCTACCTCCAGCTAACCTACCTCCTTTTGGATCTTTACTCCCGCTTTTAAAAGAACGAGAAAACCCTGACCTCCGAGTGGTAGACTCACTGGTAGACGGTGGCTTCAAAGCTGCGCTTGAAAATCTCAGAATTGTCGTAAATATAAACTGTAGATAGATGAAGACGCTTGTCTTAGCGTGACTTCAGTACCCGCACTTGCCAGCTCTAAATTTGGTCAAGTTTTGCCCTGGATCCACCTTTGTAAATAATACACAACAATATTAAATAATGAGCAACCGCCAAATCGTGCGATGAATATATATATATATACATATTTAGTAAAGAGTGGTCGTGAATTTCAGGAATCTGGCTAAAACCTGCAAAAGCGGTAGGCCCCCTCGAAAGTGATAACCATATCACTGCAGTTTTTGATATGTTCAGCTATGTTGACATTGTGGCTAAAAACTGCGAAAGCGATAGGTCCCTCTCAAGAGCGACAACCTTTCTGAATTATGTCATCTACTTGACAGTACGTGTTGGCAGACGCTCAAATGGGTTGTTTCCCCGGTGTTCCCCAACCGCACAGCTCAGTCATGTGTCTTATTGGCAGGATGATCCTTTTCATCCTGGAGTATGCAGTCCGGTATTTGCTCGTGCCTGGCCGGGTGGAGAACTGGGTACTTTTGGTGGACCTCACGGGCTGCGGCCTGTCCATGGCTGCGAGCTCGACCTTCAGATCCTTTGCATGAATCCGTGCATACCTGATTCATTCAAGGGAATAATTGAATAGTACACACTAGTCAGTGTAAAATAAATTGCATCTTTTGACCGTCACCTATCTCTTGGCTCGAACAAACTCCTAGTGTAAGAAGCACATGGTCATGGTCGTTTCAACATGGGAACGTGGTTCGAAAGAAACGTGAAACCCTCGAGCTGAAGCACCCAGTGATCAGTGAGCATCCAGGATCCATCACGCGGAATGTGACGCGACTGTTGGAGGAAGTTTACTGCGGCAGAAACTTCACCACCAAGATCTTTCACATGCCATCCTTGCTGCGTGCGATTGTGAACTCTTTGATTCCAGAAGACAAAAAGTCAAAGGTGGAGTTGCTTGCCAAAAGTCAGAGGCTCTTTGAACATCCAGCACACTTAGACAATGGGTTTGCGGTTAACTCTGTTCCTCAGTGAAATGGACGATGGAAACGTAAGGTGGCTGAGTCCGCGATCAACAGAATGTTGAAC